CCTCCATTGAATAATTTTGTCAGACAGGTTGGATTCTATCAGAATACCAACGGCGGCCCAAGTGAGTACCCTTTACACCTAAGTATTAAAGGTTCCAGAATTCCAGAACGTTGTCACTTCACCGAAAAGAGTCAAGCTATATTCCATCAGTATCGTTCAGGCCAATCAAATGCTTCCTTACCTTTCCCTCTGATTAAGAACATGCTCCAATTTCTGTTTATGAACTCTCACAGTCACCATCATTTCCGGAGGACCTTATCTGACGTGCCATGATGGCATGGCACTACCTCTGTCCTCCGTTCGAAAAAGGTTGTGACTCGTTACTGACTGATATCTTCGTCAGTTTCTCGTAACTCCTCGGCAATCATCATGCTGCAGTTTCTGATCACCGAATTTTCTCGTCTGCCGCAGTACCTCAACGGCTTGCGTGGTTCTTGGTAATCTGAGCGACGAATGAACTGTTTAACAGTCGAGAGCAACAATACCAAGATGGGTTTGTGGCTAAGTTCAACGGGGGACCTCGCGATGGTTCTCAACTCTCCTCGTTTCTCATATGGACTTTACACCGGCAAGTTCGTTTACCTTTTGTGCGTGATGAAATTCATAAAAAACATACACCGTCTTGCATGTTGCATGGTCTTTAGGTTTGGAACCGGTGACACCATACGTGTGATTGTGCGGGATTTGTGCACCAAGGAAAACCGAGAAAAGGCTGCAGAGTGCTTGACAGCGGTCAGCACGCAAGACAAGCCTTTAAGGATGAAGCGGATGATCGACATTTGCATCAGCAAACTGAACTGTTTTCAGAAGTAGTTGATTGACTGTTTCGCAATTTCATATTTTTTCATGATTCATGATTCATTTTTGCCTCAGGTTGCCGCCTTCTTGCCAAAGCAAACAGCTTAAACATTCCATGAAAAGCTGCACCCAGAAGACTGTAGTCAACTTCGATGCGATGAAGGATCTTTTCATAGCTTGTCTACCCCGAAAACTGAATGACAAAGAGGAGAAGAAAATGGTTTCTGTTTTGCGTCACGTGCATTATGCTTATCGTCGTCAGATCAGAAGATTCTCTGAGGCGTGCGAATCTCTGTACGATCATATTTAATGAGTTTCGTTCTCATGCACTGTTGTAAGCTTTAAGTTTCGAATTGTTTGATGGTCATGTGATACGCTGACTCTATCATGTCACAGTTCCGTACATTTTGGGTTGGAGGCCTTTTTGTGCGATGTCAAAAATCCTGATTCTTTTGTTTATTACTCCTCAAATTGCAGTGTTTTAATGTGAGTTCTGACGTAACTAAAAATTGACGACGTGCATCACGAAATCATGTACTGTGCCTGTAGTCTGCTTGTAAAGTGTCCCCATACAATTGTGCATTGAACAGTACGGTAAAAGGAGGAACGTATGACCGTCCGTCCAACCGTACATGCGATTCGAAAGTTACGTTAAAGCTACTATTGAGGAGGACTTGTACCCCCGCCGGCTAATCACTCATATTTCGTTGAGACAGGCTACGCCCTCAAAGCTTTAGCGCCATTTCAAAAGTTGAAGCGATATTTCATACGCAGTTACAATTCATTCGTTCATTCAGCTATCCAAGAACCTTAAATAGGCGAAAACTTTGAGAAGAGTACTAAACGTTTCAAGGAGACCTCCTTCTATCATACAGTAGTGGAACGAAATGAAAGCTTCAATATCCTGTGAGCACAACTGAAAGTACCATTTTCTGTTAACGTACTGAATATCTACTATGATTTCGATGAGTCTGACGAAAAAAGGCTGCTGCCCAGTTATGTGTGAATGTAGCTCTGTGGATGTCTGGGAATTTTTGCGGATGGCTGTGCCGTTGACTGTTCCCGGGATGATCCGTTTCGTAGGCGATTTCTTCATTTCTTTTTCGTGAATACGATTGAGCATTTTCAAACAAAAGGCACACATTTGATTATTAATTGAGTGCTTGCCTCGATGTGTTTACTTTCGAATTCTAAGAGTCTCCTGATTAGTTTTTGATGGATGTGAAAACCAATGAATCGGTCTTAAAGGAGTCTGAAACTGAAAATTCGCTTCTGGTGT